GTCACCCGCTGAAGTGAAGCAGAATCACAGATTTCTGGCCGGGGTTTTTCCGACTTCATTGATTGGTGGACACCAGGACTGAACGCTGCAGCTCCTGCACATCGACCAACTTCAAACATCAACCTTTTTTATTTGTGAAGCCAAACGTGGTCGAGACTTTCAACTCCATTTGGAGTTTTTCTCTCTTTTACAACAGGAGATCAATTGCATGTCTAGACACTGCAATAAGATCAGCCACGCACAGCTCTGACTTCCAATTGGCTACAGCAGAAGGTCAGACGAGTGAAGACAGTTCACAGGTTTTCTATGGCAACGCTTGCGCTCCTGGCTGCTGCTATCACCTGGATTAATTCCACCTGATGTGCAGTAATGTATCCCACAGGGAGAGTACCATTGACATCTGGTAATGGTGAAGATAAGTGTAATATATTGGAAAACGAGGAGCGTATCTGCACAACATTCAAATGCAAACAGCAATTTCATTAATTAGCGTCTTTTTTCACACACACACCGCCATCTCTGAAGACAAGATATTCTGTTAATTATTCAGAGGGTACTTACTGGTTTATGGAATGAATTGCTTTAATTGAACTGAAGATGTTTTCTCTAACATCCTGCTTCAGGGTTCCTTTGGCCTTCAGGATCTCCACAAAGTACTAACAGGAGCGAGACGGCAGGTAGGGGGTGAGGGAGGGAGGGTGAGGGAGGGTGAAGGAGGGTGAGGGAGGAAGAAATGTAAAAATGCACATAATCGTTCTGTCTTAAACTAATATATGCACACACAAACAAAGAACATTATATTTAAGAGAGATGCAACAATAGCATGTAGCTTAGCTCAAAAAAGCTAACCATGACCAGACCAGACAAGACAAGACACATGTAGCTTAGCTCAAAAAAGCTAACCTTTGAGACCATGTGAATTAAAGTCCCCTGATGTTGAACATTCTTTGACACCCCCTTGACCCCCCCGTCCCCGACTCCAAACTACAGGAGAACCTGACCAGCTTTTACTACACAGTACTTACAGTTGTGACCAGCGCCAGCTGCTGGCAGTACTGCTGTTCAGTTTTCACCAACTCTTTGGCGGTGCGGCTGCGTTTTCTCTCCCACCGGTCTCTCTGCTCCTGGATGGTGTTGGACTGACCAGTGAGGAAACTCATGGTCGCAGTGAAAACGAAAACTACAGGATGAGGAGGAAACTGTGGAGAAATAAAAGCGTTAAAAGCTGGAAATGTCCACATTCAAAAATCACAATGATCAGAATTTAATTATAATTTATCACCAGGGAGATTCAATTGTGCTTTTATTCTTACTCTTCATGGAACGTTATAATTCTGTGCCGGTACAGTAGTAAAATGAGTGGAGCTGCAGTTTCACCGATCCTGTTATTAATGCTGGGCGGTGCTCAAGGCACAAGTTCTTTGTAGAACTTTTGTTGAAGTTTCTCCTCAGTTTCTTCTAAATTTCAAGGGACACTGAATTTTACATTTAGTTTCTACTTAAGACCACCATATGTCCACCATATTTGTTGACTTTTTTTATTGTCCCATATTTGACTTAGATACTGTGTACCATAATGTGTTCATAATGTATAAAAAATATTTTTACAAAAATATGTACTTTATTTCACATGATTTGTTAAAATAAAACAGATTTTTATATTGTTGCAGGTTTCAGTGATAAAAGTTAAAATTCAAACTAATGACTATTTCACTTTTTGGAACATTTTAATTTGACGTTAAATCCTCGTAATCAACTTTTTGACAGCCTGTCAGCTCTCTCTTATTCTCTATTTAATTTAGATCTATAACGTGAAGCGCTCTGAAACAGAAAATAAAACCTAAAGATGAACTCGGATTTAATGCAAATGCCTGAGTAAACGGTTCCATTTTCACTTACTGCAGTTCTGAAACAAATGTCTGACTTTCAAAATAGCAGAAAGGGCCGTAACATTAACATATTTTTCACATTCATCATGTCATAGTTGCTATATTTAAAAAATAAACCGTGAACAAAATATGTCTAATGTGATTGAATATTCTCGTGTCAAATAAATAGCTCCTCACCTTCTGGTAACGTCTTCAGTTTTGATCGAGGCGCTCTTTTCAGGCTCCGTTTCCTTCTTCCTGGTTTTGCTGCGAACTCGCACGCTGATTGGCTACTCTACAGGAAACGACACAATAGCAGGAAGTACCAGCTCCTCATAAGAATGTTTGTATTATTAATGGGAAGACTTTATAAGTAAAATAAAGTCTTGGATAGAACAAATATGTTGATTACACTACCATACCCATCGTGTGTATCGCTACGTTTCCCTTACAAGATGTCACTACAGTTATTTATCTAGTTTGTTTATTTGTTTGACCGGCCCACCAAACTCGTATATCCCGCTGGCCTAAAAGATAAATCCCATTGGTCAGTTTTTTTAACTGACGTGTCGTTGGTCCAATCACATGTTTAAATCCCTACGTACTGCCGCTTTGGCTCTGCCCAGAGCGATACTCGATATGTTGTCAAGTATGCTACTTATTCGTGACTTCCAGTCACTGACTTAAGGTTTCTCACAAATACAAACCTGGGTTTGTTACACATAAAAAGACCACGAAAATGAGGCGCAGAGACGCTGAGACGTGACGGAATATTTGACGTTTGCCGCAGCAGGGCCTCCATCAGCCACAGGGGCTGATACTAGTGGTGGGCAGTAATGGCGGCGGTTACTAACCTGCGGGAATAAATAAAAAACAATAACTTCATGACAAAGTAAATGGCGTAATTATTTAAACGTTGCTGCTTTTGTCTGTTCGATAAATATCGTGTGATCAATAATTAAATGTATCTCTCTCTCTATCACACACACACAGTTAAAAAAAATAATTGAAAAAGTCTACAGTTTTTACTCATTACCAGTGCAATAAATGTATCATATTCTCTTAATTATAAAAATGTACATTATTTTTAGACAGTTAATTATAGCGGCATCTGGTACAGAAAATTACATTTATTGCTACATTAGTGGATTGTTCTGTTAAATATATATCACTGCCGTCAAATATATTTCTTTCCCAACATTGTGGTTGAGTGGGTTTTATTCACTTTGTGTCATTTTGTTTTGCCTTTGCAGCAATGTTAGCAATATTATTAAATTAAAAAGAAAAATTGTTATATTTAAACTACCGACTTTAACATTAATGTTGATTGAACAATTGTGTTTGGTGTTGCATACAATAGAAGTTTCCCAATCGAATTGGAGCGGGGTCTATTGAAACCTCGCTAACTTGACCAACTTAACTAGCGGTGAGTGGTAGGCAGTGATGCACCGGGGCTGATGTGGTGAGAGTGGCTCCAGCAGGAAGTGCAGCTCAGCACTTTGTAGCTCATTAAAGATAAAAGTGATGCCCTCAGTAATCAGGCTGTGATGCAGGAGGCTGGAGAATAAAATCCACAAGGAATGAAGGCTTTCAAGTGGAAAAAAAAAAGAAAGAAAGAAAGAAAGGATGCATTTCTCTGCATCGTGTCCCAGGCTGCACTTGTTGTTGCCAGCAGCTTTGAGAGAGCAGCGAGAACACTGACATCTAGTGTCCTGTCTGGTGTCCAGGTCCTGCTGCAGACAGGAGGCCGTGGACAGTTGGACATCTGCAGTTTATTACCTCTTAATCAGGGGGTCTTTAATATTTCAGACCAAGTATCTCCACACTGATGGAGACGTCAGTCCGACAGGAAGTTCCTTCTTTATATTTTATATTCAACCGGACAGATAAACATAATAAGACTTTTTTCTTTTCTTTTAAAAAAAAAAAAACCTTTTCAACTCACATCAATGCTAACGTCATTGAAATGGTCAATCAATTGCGTTTGTTAGCTGCACCTGGGCCTTTTTCAGATTTTTTGTCTATTCGTCTGAGCTGAAAATGTCAGATGTCAGATGTCCAATGTCTCCCTCCATCCTTCTGATACTGAATCGGTCCTCACACAAATTTATGGTTCAGTTATCCTCAAATCAGACGCAGCAAACAGAACTCACCTTATCGTGAGATGCTCCGTACGCGGGGCGCCCGTGTTCAGGATAATCTGTTAAAAACAGGACCGAGTTCAAAACTCTTTAAATTTCTAAACAGATGAAATGCATCTTTAATGAGAGGACGATTAAAATGCAGAATGCTGACCGGCCCACTCTTACGTTTTCAATGTTATTGTGTTTCCAGAACATTTGGTGTCATTATAATTGGTCCCAAAACAGAACAGTGCAAATTAGGCTCCTTTTGCCCTGAGGCGATCGAGGCATGAAGAGTGCAGGGGACCACAGACACGGGGGTAATTTTTTTTTTAACCTGAGGATAGGAAGAAAAAAGTAAAACGTCAATAATCTACACAAGTGGAGGAGCTCTCCTTAGGTTGTCCAGCCCTCGGGTGTATTATTCATAGCAGCAATCGCCAGAGGCCCCATAATTGACCTCTGTACACTGTAAAAAAAAAAAAAAAAAAACTTTGTGAGATGAAAGAATGTGATGTTTTGTAATTCAACTTTGAATTTAACTCTCCCCAATCCAATACTATTGGATTGTAGACCATGAATTATTCAACACATGGGAGGCGAGGCTATCTTAGCTGGAAGAAGTTATATGAAACAAGGTTTCAGGACCAAAATATATTGAAGGATTTGGCTTAAAAGGAAAATAAAGAATAAAAAAAAACCCTGAATAAATAAGAGTTCCTGGAAATAAATGGTGGGCATGTTGGACAGAAATCTTCTAAACGACAACAGGGGAAATAATTTTGTCAAAAAGCACTTCTTCCGCAAGATGCTGGAAAGGTGACGTGAACAAAATCTCTCTTAAGTGTTTATTGATGTGGAATGCCATTATCCACACTCGCTGAAGGGCGGGCAAAGACTTCATTTATGTTTTAATGCTTCAACCGCCAACTCTTCACTTAACATACCAGATGTAATTACCAATGTTTTTGTCAAATGCTAATTAAAGCGTCAAGTGGTGACACTTCAAACGTATTTCTGGGCTACTCGCGAGCACATCAGTATATCACTTAGCCCTAAGTAGCAGAAACTCCACCGTGTTTGATGAGTTTTTTTTTTCTTTTGTAGTTGTTTTTTAAACGCTTCAGAGTAACGTATTCACCGACGACTGCGTTGTTGACATGTGAAAATTTGTTTAAAAGGAAACCAAAACAAAGCTTTAACACGTTTGTTGAGCCGTGATGGTCTGTAGAAGAGCTGTTGTCGGTGTGATAATGAAGCCTTAACATGGCAGAGAGTTGTATGTGACAAACACTACACTATGGTTGAAGTTTGAAGCACTACAGCAGTCACGCCCGGGTTTGAACCAACAGCCTCACCAACAACAGCTAAACACCCTAATCAATCGCGCTGCCGAGACGATAAACGCTAGCCAAAGCGTAGCAGCTGTTAACAAAGTACGATCAAGTACGATCTCAGTCTCTTATCCGGTTCAAATCCTCGACCAAAGACCTTCCAAAGTTCTGGTAAACATCGTCTTTTGTTCACGTGAAACATGGTAAAATGGACGAGCACATGTAGAAAAGAAGAGTTGTTTTGGTGAAACGCAATTAGCTGTAATTGCACATTGTGTAGCTGTAGCAGCCAACAACCCTCTCAGTTGGTGCTTGGAACCTTGTACTTCACAGTCCTTTGCTGCTTTGTGTTTTATTGAACAGTGAGCTCATTAAAGCAAAAATGACCATTTGGCCTTGGGAGAAGGAGAGAGAGAGAGAGAGAGAAAAAAAATAATCACATGGCAACAAACAGCTGCACAAAATGAAGTGACACTCGAGTGATGAAGGACCATCAAAAACAGTCGTGCGCTCGCAAAGCCCAGTGGTTTTCATGGATAATGATAAACTGTCACGCCCGCAATTACTGAAAGCACTAGATGGTTGGGAGGGGAGGTGAGGAGGGGGGGAGGGGGGGGTTATGTATGAGGGTGAGGTCTGCACCTAATTGATGGTCAGGGACACTAACTCACTCAAAAGCTGTCGCTCAAGCATCAGGCAGACGGGGTCTGGACGGGGGAGAAAAGCTCTCCCACACAACTGAAAACCTGCTTTGTTCTTTTTGCTCCTTGAAAATCGTTAACAAATAACGTGCCAGACATTTGCACAAGAATGTTAACCGCCGGTTTAATGCTACGTGTTGTTGCTTCAAAGCCTAAAGGCTTCTTGTTTAAATACTGGTTCAAATAAATACTTTACCGTCTGTAGTGTGTACGTACGTACTCCATGTGATTGAGTGGGTTTTCTCCAGGTTCTCCAGGACCCTCCTCAAGGCCAGAACCCTCAATTTGAAACATTAATTCCAGAGGCTCTCAGCCATCGACTCCCTGCCTCCGTGCCGTGGAATATTAGTGTGTCGTTAGAGATGATCAGGTGCACGGGGGGAAATGATCCAGTTTGAATTAAGTGGCCTGAAAAAAAAATATATATATATATTTTATTTGTTTATCACACAGTCACAAGCAAAGAAACAAATTAAAAAATGAAATACTCAGTATGTGTTTCTTTCTTCAATTCCTGGAATTATATTAGAGTTTCGTTCAACTAAACAGGCCCGGGTTTCACATTGAGTGAGTTGAAACTGGAAGATCAATATATTTCATCAACACTGATCCAAGACCACATTCACACTGATAAATATATCCATGATCAGATTCAAGTTTGAAAAGTTTACGGCTGTGAAGTGAGGTAAATATGGACGCCAGGTCAGATTATACGGGCTGGGCCACTTTGCGAGCTCCGCCCAAATTGCTCAGATTGACCGAACGCAGCGCTGAAGGAGGAGAAAGTGAAGCAAAGTATATGTAAGGGTCTGTGTCAGACCTTGGAGAGACCGACCTGAAACACATCATTTCAGTTTCATTTCAAATGACCGACAGGAAATGGAGGGAAAAGACAAAGACCATGATGAAGTTTAAGATTCCAAAATATTCAGGGGGAAAAAAAAACATCTGCAGTCGAGAGAGGAAGTGAAATGAGGGAGGTGGGG